CCAACCTGAATTCATTTCCCCTGACATATATATATATATATATATATATATATATATATATATATACACACACACACACACACATATAATGCTATACCAACGATTCCAGTTGAACCCTGAATACATTTTCTCATTGAATAAGTGATGATGGAATTGTCCTTTATGCTAGGCCTAATCTTGTTTCTGTAATAAAGATAATCATTTGCTTTCAATGTTTTAAATTTTATATTGTATGATAAATTTCACTGATAGTTTCTGAAAATCCTCAGATAAATCTTAAAAACCATGACTCAGAAAGCCACCCCAGAGGCACTTTCCCTGTACCTTTGAGGCCAAGACCTTGCAATTCAAGGGCAAAGTGAATTTTAATTTGGTACATCTTGTATTTTGACGAATCAATGGAAAAATATGTCCTCAAAGCTTGATTGGCTCTAGCTACATTTGCCTCTTATTTTTTCCAACTATTATACATAAAATCACATGCACAAAAGATCCTTCCAAAAACAGATTCCTTCAGAAAGCAAATCCAAAGGAGAGAAGAGACAGGGAATGCATCTGATTTTTCCCAAGTCTATTTACTGTTCAATTTGATTCTTAGGTCTCTGGACATTCCAGTAAGTACTTTTGTGGTTGGTAAGATGGCTACTATTTATCAACTGCAGTTTCAAAATCACTTCATTTATTTTTTTTAAACTATCAGTTATAGTGCTTTCTGAAAATTGTTTCTCCTCGCTAGACACAGGAGTCGGATGCAGAGAGCTGGCGAGACGCTGAGTCTCAGGACGGTCTGGCCGTGGGTCCTCTGCTCTTCAGCTAAACCTTCCGAACGTTCTCGGGTTGGAACATCCATTCCCCCAGACTCACAGATGCCGTTTCTCCATCCCCCCCCCCCCCCCCCCGCTCTGCACAGAACATCATTATCTTTGCGGTGCTTCTGTCTCTATAGCAATAACAGATGGGAAATGCTGGGGAATTATTCATGTTCAGCAAAGGAGGGAGGGTGGGGGGCGGGAGAGGGGGCACGACCTGGGGGCAGGGCGGCGGGGGCGCGGAGAGGCTGGGGAGCCTCGGGTGAAGGCTGGCTGTGGGGAAGGGGAGAGGGAGACTCAACGAGCCCGAGGAGGGCTTCCAGTCGGCCGATTCCAAACGTGGACCCTCCTCCCCCACCAATAGGGACCACCTCAAAACTGTAAAACAAGCATCGGACCACAACGGGGGCACACGAGGCTGCGGGGCGGTAGAGACAAAGCGCCCGGGTCCCCGCGGTGCCGCTCCCCGGAGGGTTTCTGTTCCTGGTCTTGAGGCGGGGTGCAAAAAAAGGGGATTTCTTGAGGTTTCCAAATGTGACAGCAGCTGGGCGGAGCTCCCCCCTCAATGCTGCCGGGTCACCCCGGGCGCGCGGCCCACGGAGACCCCGGATGGTCACGGTCGAAAGCTCTTAAGAGAACCCCGAACCCAGCCCCCCGCGAACGGTCACGTGTGGACCCCCAGTCCCCCGCGAACGGTCACGTGTGGACCCCCAGCCCCCGACAAGGCCGCGTCGTTCACCGCTCCCTTTCCGACCCGGAGAGCGGTCCGGCGGGGTGGGAGCTGGGAACCCGACCAGATGTCTTCTCTCGGTTTCGCCGGAACTTTGGTCACCGTCCTCCACGCCCCAGTCCTTTCCGGGCCCCCCACCCCGGGCCCGATGCTGCGGGAGGTCGTCCCGTCCCCCCACCCCGTCTGCCTAGCCCAGTACTGAAGGAGGTCGTCCTGTCTAACCCCCCCCCCGCCCGGCCTGGTGGTGGATAGAGAACCCCCCCCCCAGACCCACCTGCCCTCCTCCTCAGTGCCTAGATCGGTGCTGAGGAAGATCCCCCCCCCACGCCTGCCCCGGTGCAGAGGTCGTTCCCCCCCCCGTGCTGAGGGAGGACGTCCCGTTCCCCCTCCCATCGGTGCTGAGGGGGGACGTCTCGTCCCCCCCACCCCCCCGTCTGCCTAGCCCAGTACTGAAGTAGATCGTTCTGTCTACCACCCCCCCCCCCGGCCTGGTGGTGGATAGAGGTTTCCCCCCCCCCCCCCCCCCCCCGCCGTCTGTCTGGCCTTAGTGATCGAAACTCCCCCTCCTCCCCCGTCTGCCTGGCCTGGTGCTGGGGAAGGTCGTCCCGTCTCCCGCCCCACCCCCGGGCCTGGCCCGGTGATGGATAGAGGTCCCCCCCCTCCCCACGCCGCGCCCGCCTTGGGGGTGGATAAAGCGCCCCCCCCGGGGGCCTCGGCCCGCCGGGCCCGGTGCCGGATGGAGATCGTCACCCCCCCCTCCCCGTCTACCCCGGTGGCCGATGGGGGTCGTCCCGTTCCGCCCCCCTCCCCCCACCTGGCCCTGTGCCGGATGGAGGTCAGCTGGGGGGAAGGCGTCTGGGTGGAGGCCGCCCGGGCTAGGCGCGGCCAGGCGAGGCGGGG